AATGGGTCCCCATGCCGGTACATACCCAGTACCCCATAGCAAGTTAGCTGAAGGACACCTTCCAGAAACCAAAGCCTAGGAAGGCCCAGACATGGAATGTGGCCAAATGGCACGCAAGCCTGCAACGGAAGAGCACATTAACTAGCACAGGGCTGCTGGGCATAGTGACTCATGCCTGTGATACCAGCACTTGTAAGGCCAAGTCAAGCGGATCACCTGAGGTCGGGAGTTTGAGACCAGCCTGACCAACATGGTCTTTACTAAAAAAAAAAAAAAAACACAAAAATTAGCTGGGCATGGTGGCACATGCCTGTAATCCCAGCTACTTGGGAGGGTGAGGCAGGAGAATCGCTTGAACTCAGAAGGCAGAGGTTGCAGTGAGCTGAGATCGTGCCATGGCACTCCAGCCTGGGCAACAACAGCAAAACTGCATTTCAGAAAAACAACAACAACAACAACAAAACTAGCACAGGGCTCCATTTGGTGCCTAGCCCTGTCACATGTGTGACAGCTGAAGGACAGTCTTTGACAGAGGTGCTGAGCCTCCCTCCTTCATACAAGAAGGACAGGGCCCAATTCCTGACCAGTCCTGGTGCACAGATGGCTTGTCCCGAGGCAATCTTTGCACCTGTATCCAGCTGTCCACTGAGAGTGTCTGGCTTGATACAGGCAAAGGACAGCTTTTAGCTGAGCTACAAGCTGCCTGGGTGTTCCCTTCCAGAAGCCGGACCCAATAGTCCCGTGCATTGACACCTGTGTGCCATCTTTAAGGGGCCCACCTGTATTTCTACCACGAGGAGAAACACAGGACTGGATGGAAGCAGGCAGTCTCCTTTGGGGGCTGATATGGGAGAACGTTCCCCGCACCTGGGAGATGCAAGTAACTGTCTAGCATGTGGATGCTCATGCTGCATAATGCCCCTTTTGTCTTACTCCAGCCTCACACGACACATGGTAGAGAGAGCTATTTGGTATTGCAAACCAGGCACCAGGCCACTGCAGGGGTGGTGCTCTCTCAGAAGGACACAACTTCCTGTGTCTTGTAAGATGACCATGAGGCCGGGCTTGGTGGCACACACCTGTAGTCGCAGCACTTTGAGAGGCCAAGGCGGGTGGATCACCTGAGGTCGGGAGTTCGAGACCAGCCTAATCAACATGGTGAAACCCCATCTCTACTAAAAATACAAAAATTAGGTGGGCATGGTGACACATGCCTGTAACCCCAGTTACTCAGGAGGTTGAGTCTGGAGAATCGCTTGAACCTGAGAGGCGGAGGTTTCAGTGTGCCAAGATCGTGCCACTGCACTCCAGCCTGCACAACAGAGCCAGACTCCATCTCAAAAAAACAAAAGGAAGCCAAGCAGCTATCCTGGAACCACATAGGAGCCAGGAAGGATTTCCCATGGTGGGAGGGGGATGAGGGAATCAGGAGATCCCCAACAGTCCACATTCCCACCACAGACGCCTGCAATCCTAGCACAGGAGAGCCCTGGCCTTCGCAAGTGTTTGTTTGTTTGTTTTGAGACAGTCTCACTCACTCTGTCGGTCAGGCTGGAGTGCAATGGCATGATCTCAGCTCACAGCAACCTCCACCCCACCGGGTTCAAGAGATTCTCCTGCCTCAGCCTCCGGAGTAGCTGGGATTACAGGCACCTGCACTGCGCCCAGCTAATTTTTGTATTTTTAGTAGAGATGGGGTTTCACCATCTTGGCCAGGCTGGTCTTGAACTTCTGACCTCATGATCCACCCACCTCAGTCTCTCAAAGTGCTGAGATGACAGGCATGCCCGGCCTGCAAGTTCTGAGCCTAGTCATAGGGGCTTCCTGGAGTCCATGACATTACATTGTCCCGGAGAAGGAACTCAGCCTGCTCCCAGCCGTGCCCTAGGACTTAAGCTGCCGCAGCACAGCACCGTTTTCACACCAAGCCACATCCTGCTCCGGGGCCCAATCTCCCCTGTCTCTCCACATCCCCGGGGCCCCACCAACAACCCCCACTTCCACTCAGAGGGAGGCAGTGTGGCAACACCAGCTGGATGCAGCAGCGTGGCCAAGTTCCTGGAGCCCAAGCCCAAGCAGTGCCCGACACCTTGGTGAACAGGCCGTGCAGCACATCGGGAGGCTGCCCCCAGGACATGGGAAGCTGGAGTGTGTGCTCCCAGTGCCTGAGAGCTGCCTGCCCAGGGCCTCTGACAGCGACCCTGTCCCCTCCAGGAGCAGGGCCATGCCACATCTGCTTGTGCTGCCTGAAGACCCAAAACCCAGTGCCTTTGCATCCCACCAGGGGCCTCCACCACCACCAAGACTGGTGCCTGCTGCCACCACCCCAGATGCCACACCCCGTGTGAGCCACGTGGGGTCTGAGGACTGCTCTGCCAGGGGCCCAGTGTCACCACAGTCAGTGCCTGTGGGTGCCACCCAATGGCCTGAGGATTGGACCCCCAGAGCCTCAGTCCCCAGAAAGCCTCACCACAGTCTCCACAAACAACTGCAGCCGAAGCCACAGAGTAACTCACAGACATGGCGACATTGAGAGCAGCCAAAGAAATCATATGGAAGCTGGGCGCGGTGGCTCACGTCTGTAATCCTATCACTTTGGGAGGCCAAGGTAGGTTAATCACTGGAGGTCAGGGGCTCAAAACCAGCCTGACCAATGTGGTAAAACCCCATCTTTACTAAAAATACAAAAAATTAGCCATGCATGGTGGTGCGCACCTGTAGTCCCAGCTACTCAGGAGATTGAGGCAGGAGACTAGCTTCAACCCGGGAGGCAGAGGTCACAGTGAGCCGAGATCGCACCACTGCACTCCAGCCTGGCAACAGAGCAAGACCCCTTCTCAAAAAAACAAAAAGAAGAAGAAGTGCCTTTTGCCTCCTGCCATGATTCTGAGGCCCTCCCCAGCCATGTGGAACTGTTAGGTCCAATTACACCTCTTTTTTTTCCCAGTTTCAGGTATATATGTGTATTAACAGCATGAAAACGAATACAGTAAACTGGCACCAGTAGAGTGGGGCGTTGCTGAGAAGATACCTGAAAATGTGGAAGCAACTTTGGAAGTGGGTAACAGGCAGAGGTTGGATGGTTTGGAGGGCTCAGAAGACAGGAAAATGAGGGAAGGTTTGGAACCTCCTAGAGACTTACTGAATGGCTTTGACAAACATGCCGATACGAACAAGGTCCAAGCTGAGGTGGTCTCAGATGGGGATGAAGAACTTGAAGATGGGTACTGGAGCTAAGATGACTCTTGTTAATATTTTAGCAAAGAGACTAGCAGCATTTTGCTCCTGCCCTAGAGATTTGTGGAACTTTGAACTTGAGAGAGATGATTTAGGGTATCTGGCAGAAGAAATTTCTAAGCAGCAAAGCTTTCAAAAGGTGACTTGGGTGTTGTTAAAAGCATTCTGTTTTAAGAGGAAACAACATAAAAGTTAAGAAAATTTGCAGCCTGATGATACAGTAGAAAAGAAAAACCAATTTTTTGAGGAGAAATTCAAGCCAGCTACAGAAATTTGCATGAGTAACAGGTAGCCTACCCTCAAGACCATGGGGAAAATGTCTCCAGGCCGTGTCGGAGACCTTCATGGCAGCCCCTCCCATCACAGGCCCAGAGGCCCAGGAGGAAAAAGTGATTTCATGGGCCAGGCCCAGGATCCCCTTGCCGTGTGTAGCCTAGGGACACAGTGCCTGGTCCCACTCCAGCTGTGGCTGAAATGGGTCAATGTACAGCTTGAGCTGTGGCTTCAGAGGGTGGAAGCCCCGAGCCTTGGCAGCTTCCACATGGTATTGAGCCTGCAGGTGCACAGAAGTCAAGAATCGAGGTTTGGGAACCTCCACCTAGATTTCAGAAGATGCATGGAAACGCCTGGATACCCAGGAAGAAGTCTGCTGCAGCGGTGGGGCCCTCGTGGAAAACCTCTGCTAAGGCAATGCAGAAGGGAAATGTGGGGTTGGAGCCCTCACGCAGGGTTCCTACTGGGGCACTGCCTACTGGAGCTGTGAGAAGAGGGCCACTGTCCTCCAGACCCCAGAATGGTAGATCCACTGACAGCTTGCACCATACGCCTGGAAAAGTTGCATAAACTCAATGCCAGTCCATTAAAACAGCCGGGAGGGAAGCTGTACCCTGCAAAGCCACAGAGGTGGAGCTACCCAAGACCATGGGAACCCAGCTCCTACATCAGCATGACCTGGATGTGAGACCTGTAATCAAAGGATATCCTTTTGGAGCTTTAAAATGTGACTGCCCTGCTAGATTTTGGACTTGCATCATCCCTGTAACCCCTTTGTTTTGGCCAATTTCTCCCATTAGAAATGGCTGTATTTATCCAATAACTGTACCTTCATTGTATCTAGGAAGTAACTACCTTGCTTTTGATTTTACAGGCTCATAGGTGGAAGGGACTTGCCTTGTCTCAGATGAGACTTCAGACTTTTGGGTTAATGCTGAAATAAGACTTTGGGGGACTGTTGGGAAGTCAAAACATGTTTGGTTTTGAAATGTGAAGACACGAGATTTGGAGGGGCCAGGGGAAGAATGATATGGTTTGGCTGTGTCCCCATTCAAATCTCAACTTCAATTATATCTCCCAGAATTCCCACATGTTGTGGGAGGGACCCGTGGGAGGTTAACTGAATCATGGGGGCTGGTCTTTTCCATATTCTCATGATAGTAAGTCTCACAAGATCTGATGGGTTTATCAGAGGTTTCCACTTTTGCTTCATTTTTTTCTCTTGCCACTGCCATATAAGAAGTGCCTTTCACCTCCTGCCATAATTGAGGCCTCCTCAGCCATGTGTAACTTTAAGTTAAATTAAACCCCCTTTGTTCCCACTTTCAGGTAGGTCTTTACCAGCAGTGTGAAAACAAACTAATATAGACTGGAAGCCTTGTGACAGGAAGACCGAACATCTGAGACATCTATAGGAAAAAAAAAAAAAAAAAAAAAATCTCCTTACATCCAGTCCTTGAGTTCTAGTAGAATGATTTATTGGACATTACTCCTTCAGCTCCATTCCAGGAGACAGGAACCCCAGAAACAGCAGGACGGTAGGCATCATCAGCATTGCGTATGAGTTGTGCTTGTGTTGTGTGTTGAGGAAGAGGGTGGGAAAACACAATGGTGGTAACCAGGGAAGATGGGACCCAGGAGAGGACTGTGAGGTCAGACCCCATGAACTCCCCAAAGAATGCCCCTCCTTTTGGAAGTAACAGAAGTTCTGGATCCAGGGACATCAACAGTTGCAAGCTGATATTAAGAGTTGCCTATGGGATGTTCTGAGGGATATACGATATGAAGCCAAATGAATGAAGTTAGGAAGTCACACTACAGGTTGACGGGTACTTTGTTTCATCACCTTGTAGAATATCTTCCTTTTGAACGTCTTTACTGGATGTTAGCTCATCACTTAGGGGTAGGGATGTGGAGGCTGTTATAGGCCCGTCTCCGCTCTTGGTCCTGAAGGGAATCCCATGTGTGAGGCAGTATACCAAGTATGCAGGGATAGGGAGGATGACAATGGCAAAAACGGTGACCATCAAGAGCAGTATCCATACTGGGTATGGTTGAAGCACCTCTTTTGACTGTGGAGAGATGGAGAAAAAGGTTCAGAATATCCAAGTCCCAAAGAGAAGAGGAAGAGTTGTGGAGGGGAAGGCTGGTTTGGGAACCAAGGCAGAAGACTAATGAGTCTTCAGGCAGGAAGAGAATGAGATGACTGGGTTCTTTCACCAAGAGTGAGTTGAAAGGTCTGGCCCCCACTCCCAAAGGGGTTCTGGGTCCCAGGGGAAGCTCACAGTTCTCGAGTCCCAGGACACATAGGTGATGGGCTGCTTACAGAGATCAACCGTCACAGTCACAAACAGGATTAGCAGCGCAACTGGACACACACAGAGCCACAGCCAACCATAGATGGGAGAGATGGGGTGGCCCAACAGGGTCATCAGGTCTGCGAGGAACCTGAGGAAGGGCCGCCAGATTGTGGGATGCCCAGTCAGGCCTTACCACCTTGAAGGCAGGGCCGGCCCAACCATGGCATCTTTCAAACATTCTATTGTATCTATAATGTCTTGTTTCATCGCAAGTCTCATCCTCTCTCATCTTCTCCCTAGTCAGTCTGTCTTCTATTCCAACCCAAGAAAATTTTTCAAACACCCCTCTCCTGCTCAAGAATCTTCCATGGGTATCCAATGCCCTCAGGAGAAAGGCCAAATCTCTTTCCTTCATCCCATAAATATAAGAATGTCACTGGGTGTGGTGGCTCACGCCTGTAATCCCAGGCCGAGGTGGGTGGATCACCTGAAATCGGGAGTTGAAGACCACCCTGACCCACATGGACAAATCGTCCATGGTCTGGCCCCCATTACTTTTCTAGCCTCACCTCCTAATTATCTTCTATTCCAGCCACTCTGACTTCCTTGTTTCTCAAAAACGCCAGGCATTATGCTTCCTCTGGCCTTGGTAATTTCTGTTTCCCTGCAGGAAGCACTCTGCCTCAAAATCTTGTCATGACTCCCTCCCTCCTGTCATTCAGGAACCTGCTCACATGTCACCTTACTGGAAAGGCCCTCCCTGAAGTTCTGTCTGGATTGGTGCCCACACATACTCCCACTCTGGGCCATCTGGCCTCACTCTTTGATTTTTCCCACCAATTATATTTATTCTCAACGTTTTTATTCTTTATTTGCTAATTTGGTTATTGTCTCTCTAGACCACTAGAATGTAAGCTTTCTGCAAACAGAAATACTTTTTTTATTCAATGTCCCTATCCCTGATGACTAAAACAGTGCCTGACATATATGCAGCCCCCAAGACATACGTGAAGATGGATGAATGATTAAAAAGATTTCCCAGAAGGCCCTGAAATTAAGGGTCCCTATGTCACACTAGTGGGATTTAGTCCCGTGCTTCTAAGGACATCACCTCCTGGCCCCATAGGCCCAGGATACAGCCATGGTTTCCAGTGTGACGATGACAATGATGGGGAAGACTACCCAGCGCTCAGACAGCAGTCTGATGAAGTAGATCCCTGAAGGTCGAATGAAGAAGTGGCCACACATGAACATGAGCGTCGAGAGTCCCACTGGAGAAAACATCAGATCTGGATCAAGGTTAGAAGTCAGGCTGAGTGACGAGGGCTAAGTAGGGGTCACAGCCAGGCACAGTGGCTGACATCTGTAATCCCAGCATTTTGGGAAGCCAAAGTGGGCAGATCACTTAAGCCCAGGAGTCTGAGACCAGCCTGGGCAACATGGCAAAAGCCCATCTCTACAAAAACTACAGAACTTAGCTGGGCGTGGTGCTGCATGCCTATGGTCCCAACTACTCTGGAGGCTGAGGTGGGAGGATCACTTGAACCCAGGAGGCAGACACTGCAGTAAGCCGAGATCATACCACTGCACTCCAGCCTGGGCTACAGAGACCCTGTCTCAAAAAAATAAAGAACAAAAAAGAGTCCCAGTGGTGTCAAAGGTCAGGGTCATGGTGAGGGGCAGGGCCTCAGTGACAGTACCTATGAGCAGCTTTGTATGTTTCCTGTAGAAAGAGAAGTTGTCCTGGAGTGGAGTAACAAGGCCCTGCACGATCCCCATTGCGCTGCTCAGCCCCATGGCCAGCAACGCCAGGAAGAAGATGAAAGACCAGAAGACAGACAGGGGAAGGAAGGACATGGCTTCAACAAAGGACAGGAATACAAACTTTGGGCCCTCCTTAGCCTGCAAGGAGAGAACAAACAGGCATTGAGGTATCATTGAACCAAACAATAAGAAAAAATACAGACGAGTGGACATTCCATCTTCCCTGGAAAACTCCCGAAAATCCCTGGATCACTGAGAAAATCAGGTCTCCACCAGAAGCCTCTGACACAGAAAATCAATCCAGCTTGCGTTATCCATGGAAGGCCATTCCGCAAGCTATAGTACTTCGTGTTACTAGAGCTGCACATTATCCTGGTACTTCCAGAATTTTCTTCTGGCCCTAATAAAAGGCAAAATTGTTGCCGGGCATGGTGGCTCATGACTGTAATCTTAGCACTTTGGGAGGCTGAGGCAGGTAGATCACTTGAGGTCAGGAGATCGAGATCATCCTGGCCAACATGATGAAACCGCCGGCTCTACTAAAAATACAAAAATTAGCTGGGCGTGGTGGTGCGCGCCTGTAATCCCAACTACTTGGGAGGCTAAGGGAGGAGAATTGCTTGAACCTGGGAGGCGGAGGTTGCAGTGAGCCGAGATCGTGCCACTGCACTCCAGCACTCCAGCCTGGGGACAGAGTGAGACTCCATCTCTTTAAAAAAAAAAAAAAAAAAAAAAAAGCTAAACTTTCTGTTGTCCCAAAAGCTTTCAGGAACTCTCTCGCCACCCTGCCCCTAACCCCCACCTATTTTCTGACCTTAAAAAACTGAGTCTCTATGCTGCACTCAGACACCTCGTGGAGAACCATGCTTCTGATGCTCGGGGGAAGGCCATTGAGCCAGGTGTTGTAGACGGAGGTCGGGTTACCATCCAGGCTGGTAGGGGGGGTGGCGGCAGGAGGCAGTTTCCCCAGGGCTATCAAGTTTGAAAGTGTTTCAGCATTCCTGGGGAGAGGCGGTTGAATCAGATGGAACCATTCGGCCCAGTAGAAGATAGTCTCCTGTTCCCTTATCTTCAAGAGGAAAAAGGCTATCACTGGCTTAGCATTACTGATCTGGGCAAGATAGAGCTGGGATGAAACCTAGAAGGCACACACCTTCAGGGCCATGAATGAGCTTGTGTAATCCTGGAGAACCTATGACCATGGGGGATCCTAGGAGAAGTATTTTCTAGTCTTCTTGGGGACTCTGTGGTCTCCGCTCTAGTGATGAGGTCCCTTATTCACGGTCTACATTCCCTCTCCGCCAAGACTAATGGGTAAAAGTCAACTTTCTAAACTTCCTATTGGCCAGGCGCGGTGGTTCACACCTGTAATCCCAGCACTTTGGGAGGCTGAGGTAGGCAGATCACTTGAGGTCAGGAGATCAAGACCAGCCTGACCAACATGGAGAAACCCCGTCCCTACTAAAAATACATTAGCCAGGCGTGGTGGCACATGCCTGTGATCCCAGGTACTCAGGGGGCTGAGGCAGGAGAATCACTTGAACCGGGGAGGCGGAGGTTGCAGTAAGCCGAGATTGCGCCATTGCACTCCGGCCTGGGCAACAAGAGTGCAACTCCGTCTCAAATAAATACATAAATAATAATAAACTTCCTATTACGGCATGTCCGGGAGCACACAGACTATGACTCACATATTGTTCCCACGGAGTTGTGCTGTGAGAGAGCAACTGATGCTTGGACGTTTTGCTGTGAGCCCTGCTGACCATTTTGGCCTCACAGTCCCCTATGGCCCTCTGTACATTCCATGTTCTGGCCAGATTTAACTACTTACAGCTTCAGGGCCCATAACACCCTCTCCTCTCACACACAAGACCAACTCCACCCCTACCACCATTCTTCACTTGGCAAACTCTTACAAATCCTTAAAAATTCTGCTCATTGCACTTTAGAACTGCCATGGATGGCTTGCCAAGATTCACTGATAAAAGCAAAAGGCAAGCAAGCAGAGTTTGATCACATTTTAGAAAATGAAATACTATATGCTATCCCAGTACTAAGCTAGAGATTTGAACCAATTTTCTCACTGGAAATAATTTAAAAGGGTGGAAGATATTTTTAAATCTTCTAATGAAATAAAAACGTTGACAAGATAATAAAGAATTATCAGGCAAAAATCGAAGTACAGGCAAAGCAGTGGACAAAGGGGCCTTCCAAAGACACTTTGTCCCAAAGATGTATGCCAAATACAATAAACTGGACCTGCAGTTTCCAATTTTATGACTTTTCAGATATAAAAGGAGTCCATGGAGGCCAGATATAAAACACCAGAGCCGGCCAGGTGCGGTGGCTCACACCTGTAATCCCAGCACTTTCGGAGGCCGAGGCGGGCTGATCACCTGAGGTCAGTAGTTTGAGACCAGCCTGGCCAACATGGTGAAACCCCATCTCTACTAAAAACACAAAAATTAGCCAGGCGTGGTGGTGCAACCCTGTAACCCCAGCTACTTAGGAGGCTGAGACAGGGGAATCACTTGAACCCAGGAGGCGGAGGTTGTGGTGAGCCGAGATCGCGCCATTGCACTCCAGCCTGCGCAACAAGAGCAAGAATCTGTCTCAAAAAAAAAAAAAAAGAAAGAAAGAAAAAAATAGACATGTTAACTAATGATCCTGAAAAAAGCCCAGAAACACCTTGTGGTCAACTAATTTTCAACAAACATACCAAGGCAGTTTAATAAAAAGAGAATAGTCTTATTAACAAATAGTGCTAGAATAACTGGATATCTAAATAGAAAAAAAAGTAGGCAGGGCACAGTGGCTCATGCCTATAATCCCAGAACTTTGGGAGGCTGAGGCGGGCATATCATAAGGTCAGGAGATCGAGACCATCCTGGCTAACATGGTAAAATGTCATCTCTACTAAAAATACAAAAAATAGCTGAGTGTGGTGGCACGCATCTATAGTCTCAGCTACTTGGGAGGCGGAGGCAGGAGAATTGTTTGAACCTGGGAGGTGGAGGATGCAGTGAGCCGAGATTGTGCCATTGCACTCCAGCCTGGGCAACAGAGTGAGACTCTGTCAAAAAAAGAGAGAGAGAGAGAGAGAGAATAATAGTTATTCTGATTGGTGGGTTTCGCACCACATCAATCAGAATGGCTATTATTAAAAAGAAAAAATAACAGATGTTGGTGAGGTTGCATAGAAAAGGGAACGCTTATACACTCTTGGTGGGAATGTAAATTAGTTTCACCACTGTGGAAAGCAGTTTGGAGATTTCTCAAAGAACTAAAAACAGAACTACCATTAAACCCAGCAGTACCATTACTGGGTATACATACCCAAAGTAAAATAGATCATTCTACCAAAAAGACACATGCACTCATATGTTCATCACAGCACTATTCACAATAGCAAAGACATGAAGTCAACCTAGATGTCCATCAATAGTAGACTGGATAAAGAAAATGTGATACAAACACACCATGGAATACTATGCTGCCATGAAAAAGAACAAAATCAGGTCTTTTGCAGCAACATGGATGCTGCTGGAGGCTACTATCCTAAGTAAATTAAAACAGGAACAGAAAACCAAATGCCACATATTGTCACTTGTAAGTGGGAGCTAAACACTGAGTGCACATGGACATAAAGATGGCAGCAACAGGCACTGAGGACTACCAGAAGGAGGAAGAAGGGAGAGGAAGAGGATTGAAAAACTATCTATCGGGTACTATGCTCACTACCTGGGTGATGGGATCATTTGTAGCCTGAACTTCAGCAACACACAATTTACCCATGTCACCCTCTGAAACTGCCTGTTACCTCAGCATTTGGGAGGATGAGGCAGGCTGATCACTTGAGGTCAGGAATTTGAGACCAGTTTGAGCAACATGGGGAAACCCCGTCTCTACTAAAAACACAAAATTAGCCAGGCATGGTGGCAGAAGAATCGCTTGAACCAGGGAGGCAGAGGTTGCAGTGAGCCAAGAGCCTGGGTGACAGAGGGAGACTCAGTGTCAGGAGGAAAAAAAAAAAGAAAGAAAGAAAGAGAAAGCTGAAAGATAGTGGACTATCTTCAATGTGGTAGAAGAAAAAAAAGCATTGTCAAGCTAGTAATCTATATCCAGATACAACAGATTTCAAAACACAGTGAAATATATTTTCAAAAGAAAGGTAAGAACTGGCCACTAGCAGACCATCACTAAAGAATAATTCAAGGATATTTAAGTAAAAGGAAATCCCTGATGGAAGGGCCAGGATACAAGACAGAATAAACAACAAAGAAAGCAATAAATAGGAAGTAGTACATCTAATTGAACATTAACTATATAATAAAACGATAATGGGCCGGACACAGAGGCTCACACCTATAATCCCAGCATTTTGGGAGGCTGAGGTGGGTGAATCGCCTGAGGTCAGGGGTTCGAGACTAGCCTGACCAGGAGAATTGCTTGAATCCAGGAGGCGGAGGTTGCAGTGAGCCAAAATTGCACCATTGCACTCCAGCCTGGGCAACAAGAGCGAAACTCCGTCTCAAAAAAACAAACAAATAAACAATAATGTCTGTGCATTTTAGTAAAAGAATATGAAATAAAAGTATATGAGGTACACGCTTGTAATCCCAGCTACCTGGGAGACTGAGACAGGAGAATCACTTGAACCTAGGAGGCAGAAGTTGCAGTGAGCCAAGATCGCACCACTGCTCTCCAGCCTGGGCAACCAAGCAAGACCCCGTCTCAAAACAAAACAAAAACATGATATAACATTCAAATGTAACTTAGGAATGCATGTAAGTGGATATAAAAAGTTTTGGAGCCCTTATCTTGAACAGTGAAGTATGATTACCTTTAGACATCAATAAATTAAGAAAGCATATTGTGAATTCTAGGGAAATCACTCAAGAACAGAAAACAGAGTAGATAACTTCCAAAGTAGCAGAGGAAAAAAATGGAATGATAACTATGAAGTCAATCCAAAAGAAGGCAAGAAAAGAGAAAAAAAGAAATAGAGACCAGGAGAAACAAATTGCAAAGTTAGAAGACAGGGCCAATTATTTCCTACCATGATGGCGGAGGAAGGGAGCCAACCTTCCTTTCTCCATAAAATGCAACAATTTGGCAACTATATATGAACAAAAATTACTCTGGGCTGGGCACGGTGACTCATGCCTGTAATCCCAGCACTTTTGAGAGGCCGAGGCGTAGGATCACTAGAGCTCAGGAGTTCGAGACCAGCCTGGCCAACATGGGGAAACCCTGTCTCTACTAAAAATACAAAAACTAGCTGGGCTTGGTGGCGCGTGCCTGTAATCCCAGCTACTCGGGAGGCAGAGGCAGGAAAATTGCTTGAACCTGGGAGGCTGCAGTGAGCAGAGATGGTGCCACTGCACTCCAGCCTGGGCAACAGAGCCAGATTCAGTCTTAAAAAAAAAATTACTCTGGAAGAGTTGAGAAGTCAGCTTCAGCAACAGTGGGAGAAAGAACCCTAGAAAAACCTGCACAGAAAGGGTGGAAAGAACAGTTCCATTCTGCCCACATCACCCCATCCCCCGAGCCAGCACTGCTCAGCATAGAGAGGGAATTCCCTGGCTCGCATATCCTTCTTTCAGGGAAAATGAGAGCAGGGCGTACGACCAGCTTCCCCAGCGTTCTGGGACACTGCCCAAGCAGTTTCAGTTTCACTCGACTCACATTTCCGCGGGAACTGGCATCGCCGAAACATACGGAGATGATGGGGAACCAAGAAGTGGAACAGGCTGTCGGCATCAGCCGTGCTGGTGGGAGCCAAAGCGACCCCTAGTGGTCGGCTCAACACAGGACTCCAGGAGACTTCCGTGGTGAGGCCCTCAACAGCACTCATGGCCACTGTGCCGCTCCCCACGGTTTTCACCACCAAGGACCCGCTGGTGTTACCAATGGCTGATGCCAGCAGCATTTTCTGCAGAGGAACCAAGCAGCTTTCACAACGGAAGAAACCCCTACCAGCACTGCAGCAGCAAAGCCC